CCCTAGACTCCGGGAGGCCAGAGGATCTGGAGTTTCCTTGTGTCAGGGGCCTACGTGTCTTTTCTGTAGCCTATCATGGCTGCTAAAGTAGGGGCTGAGTGAGGTCTGCTCCCTTTATTTCTAAATTATTAGAAGTGAAGCCCTTGAGTTTAGTTTACCCTTTCACAGTCATGCATCGCTAAACCATAGGGATGTGTAACTTTCTAAGAGCTTCATTAGGTGGTTTCAGGGTGCAAACACCATAGAATTGCTCACACTAATTAACTCTAAACAGTGTCAGTGCCACTAGGGGGAAAGCCTTATGGGACGGCTGTTGTTTATGCTAATGATTGACAGAAACTCTACAATTACCCTCGGATGCAGCTAGCTAGGCACATTAGTGTTACCAAACTGGCAGTCTCTTCACTGGATTCTTAAATATTCTAAAAACTTGAGTGAAGCAAAGGCTTCGCAGAGATGTGAAGATGATTTATCCCACTTCCAATCTATTCTAGATCTTTGGCTTCCCCCTTTATGTACGGGAAAACAAGGCTGGTGTAGATAACGGAACCTGGGCAACTAAACGTGGTAATGGCCTTGGTTTCTTCAGCTGAAAATTGCCACATGATATACCCGTTAGTGATGCTATCCCTGAGAAAACATCTACGCACTGCAAAAGGATCCAACAACAGTTAGGGACAGCACCAAGCCCAGCTTAGTGAACCAATGAGTTTTACTGGGGTTACGTTTGGAAGCAGACTTGCCTCCTCAAAGACACCTGCACCACCAAGTACCCAGCCTAGAAAAGGTAACAGTTCAGGGAAGCTGGGAACAGGGAGCTCATGGCACAGCTTGCAGGAGCTCGGGAGAGTATCTTCCAGGTAGTCCCACTGGTCTGAGGGTCTTCTCTCGGTGGCCCTCACTGCTTACCATCCTTGGGAAAGGCAGAGTCTGCCTGATGGGGTGGGCTTCAGGGATTCCTGGAGTGCCTGGGTTTACTTCCTTAGTGTTAGGGGCTTCTCTGCAGAACAGAAAGTTTCACCTGGGTCTTTAGGCCTTCCCTCAAAGGTGGAAGGCTTTATCTCAGAGGAAGTTGGTACCCAGCAAAACCTTTCATGATCCTTGTAAAGATTCTGAGAGAGATGTATGAAATAAGACAGTGGTTCTCAATCTTCCTAATGCTGTGACCCTTCAAGTCAATTCATGCTGTGGTGGCCTCCAACCATAAAATTACTTTCATTGCTACTCCATAGCTGTAATTTTACTGTAGTTATGAATCATAGTGTAAATATTTGTGTTTTCGATGATCTTAGGCAACCCCAAAGCGGTTACCATCCACAAGTTGAGAACCACTGGTCAGTATGACAGCTAGGATCCCAACACTAGACAATCAGACAGTATGACAGCTAGGATCCCAACGCTAGACCATCAGACAGTATGACAGCTAGGATCCCAACGCTAGACCATCAGACAGTATGACAGCTAGGATCCCAACGCTAGACCATCAGACAGTATGACAGCTAGGATCCCAACGCTAGACCATCAGACAGTATGACAGCTCCTTGGCACTCTGAGTGTGACTCCTTGGGTTCAGCTCTAGGTTTGACCACTAGGCTGTGAGACCCAGCTTCTACACACAGGACTGTTGCTGGAGGCCCCTCTGTACCACCTTTCACCAATTAGCTGGCTGATTACACCCCAGGGTGTAGGAATTTTGGGTAGCTGAGAAGATTGGGCAGCAGGCAGGTGGGAGCCGCAGTGTGTGGCACCTCTAGCGTGGGTCCCCTTGCAGCCCTCAGCTACTGGGACCCTCAGCAGCCACTAAGGGTGCGGCTACAGCTCTCGTGTGGGCCAGGGAGGTGGTACCCTGTCTTTGAGCAGCCAGGGTTAGAGCTGTTGGCCTGGATGCTGTGGAGCTCTTCTGGTGACCGGAACCTGCACTTTCTAGTCTGCGGCTCCTTTTCTTCTTCATTCTCAACCCTCTCTCCTACAGCCCCACCCCCTGGTGACTCCCTAACATTGAACGCTTGTGTCCAAAGACCGGCTTGGGAACCGCCCGTCGGGTGTCACTGTGGCCTGCTGTTCCTTTCCCCCTGTCACCGGGTCAGCCGCATCACTGAAACCGGTAAGAAAAGATCGCTAGAGAGAAACTTGATTGGGGCTAACGTTGCAGCACCAGGGAAGCCGGCGGCACGCGGCGTGTTACTCAGCTGACTCACCATGTGAGTCTGAGCACCCGGCTTCCATTGCCCTCTCTGGACCACAGTGGAAGTACCGCTCTTCTGGTCTTGAAGGAAAGAAACAGTGGCAGGTCTTCTAGAGTTTACTGAGGCCCATGAGAGTCTGGTATGATGCCCTCTAAGGCTCAGGGAACACTGTGTGTGGGGACCTAATGCCGTCTCCTAGTCCAGACCGAGGCGTTGTAACCACAACTGACCGCAGCTGCGGGTGCCTGTAAGCGGCCTGCACAGGAATGGGCGCATCAACAGGCAGACACGGATGGCGTAGGGGCTCATGGGTTCCTACTCACACTTTTGACCCGTTTGCCACTGACAGATTCAAGAAGAGAGGGCTGTTGCCTTTGTGAACCTCACTGGTGACCCCCTACCGGATAGTTCCAATCCTACAGTCAAAAGAGGGACCTGGAGGGGAGGAGGGGAGGGAGAGGGAACTGGGATTGATATGTAAAATAAGCTTGTTTCTCATTTAAATTTGAAAAAGGAAAGAGGGACCTGGATAGCTGGGCGTTGGTGGTGGCGCACGCCTTTAATCCCAGCATTAAGGAGACAGGCAGGTGGGTATCTGTGAGTTCGAGGCCAGTAGAGTGAGTTCCAGGACATTCAGGGCTACACCCTGCCTCGAAAACCAAAAGGGGGCGGGGGATGATAAGAGATGGGTTGATAGGCATGTGAGAGAAATGATAGGGAGAGAGTAATCAGAAATTGTAAAAAAACAAAATAAATAAAAAATAAAGACCTGGGGAGGAGAGACGGCCCAGAAGAGCACTGGCTGCTCTTGCAGAGGCCCTGGGTTGGATTCCCAGCACCGTCCTGGTTATATCCTGTGACTCCAGTTACAGGAATGTGACACGAGAATAGCTCCTTCCCTGGAATCTCCTACTTCTGCTCTGCCGATGTGTTAGCGTTCCTGTTTGCAAACGCTGAGATCCTGCCCCCGCCCCCATTCGTATCAAACTCTGGCATGCAGTTTTTTTGGGGCAGTATCTTCAATCTTCAAAACAATTTCCTTTTCACATTACATGTAGGTGTGTGTGTGTGTCTGTGTCGGGATGTGCACAAGAGTACAGGTGCCTGTGGGGTCCAGAGCCCTGACCTGGCCGCTGGGAATGGAACAGAACTCCGGACCTCTGGAAGCAGCAAGGGCTCCTATCACCAGCCATCTCCTCAGACCCCTAGTTCTATTCTTTTTTTTTTTTTTTTTTTTTTTTTGGTGTTTTTCGAGACAGAGTTTCTCTGTAGCTTTGGAGGCTGTCCTGGAACTCGCTCTGTAGACTAGGCTGGCTTTGAACTCACAGAGATCCTCCTGCCTCTGCCTCCCGAGTGCTGGGTTTAAAGGCGTGCGCCACCAATGCCCGGCTAGTTCTAATATATATATATTATTTATTTATTATGTATACAGTGTTCTGCCTGCATGTATCCCTGCAGGTCAGAAGAGGACACCAGATCTCATGACAGATGGCTGGGAGCCACCGTGTGGTTGCTGGGAATTGAACTCAGGACCTCTAGATGAGCAGCCAGTGCTCTTAACCTCTGAGCTATCTCTCCAGCCCCTAGTTCTAGTATCTTAAAATGGGAAAAAACAAACCACATTTTCCTTGTTGTACAAACAAATCTCTGTGGACACCAAGCACAGTTGAGTGACAGCTGTTCATCTACGGGGAATGTGCCAGAAGCCGGCCAAATGGCAGCGCGCCCACCTTCCGGAGTCTGACAAGCCCGTGTGGACAGAGAGGGGGTGCAGAACCCGGGGGTGCCCCGGGACGGCGGGGAGAGGGGAGGGTGAGCTGGGGGCGCGGCTCGGGCTCTGGAGAAGCCCGGCTTCTGGCCACCATGTTGGGTTTCCCTCCCGAACGGGGTGGGGTGGCGGCGGGCGGGCGGTGAGAACCGAAACGTCCCAGGCCGCGCTTCCGACCCAGCCCTCGGGAGGCCAGCGGGGTCCGCACCGCGCCCGGCTCCAACACCCGAGCCGGCGGCGCGTGGACGGGGCGGGCGGGACGGACGGACGCGCGTCCGCAGGGGCCTTGCCGGGGTCAGCCTGTCTGAGGGGCTCTGGGCGGCGTCCAGCCCCCAGCCCGCCCGAAACGGCCAGTAACCGCCGTCGGCTCGGGGCTCCGGCCTCCATCTTTGCGCCGCCCCCGGCCCCAACAGTCAAGTTGTCAAAGAGCCGGCGCGGGGACCCCGGGCGGATCCGTTGGGAACGGCCGGGAGCCCCGCGAGGGCGCGCGAGGACGGGGCGTGCGGGCGGCAGGCGGCTCCGCACGGGGGGGACGGGAGGCACCGGGTCGGGCCTGCCAGCCAGCGCGTCAGCGGAGAGCGCCCGGCCCGCGGCGGCGGCGGAAAACGGAAGTGGGCCGGAGCGCGCGGCGGTGATTGGCTGGCGGGACACGTCCCTCAAGGGGCTGGCGCGAACGCCACTGCGGAGCTCGGGGGTGGGGTGGGGGAGGGATCCGGCGGGGGGAGGGAGGGAGGCAAGGCTGCGGGAACAGCCGCGCGGCGGCTCGGAAACGCTCCCCGGGCGCGCGCTGTGGGGGGGTGGAGCGGGGTTGCGGGTGGCTTCTCCCGGGCGGGGCGGAAGCGCGCCGACGCTGAGCGCGGAGGGCGGAAGGAGCGGCGGGCGCCGCGCGGCCCGAGGCCGGGAGCCGAGCGCGGAGGGCGGGGAGGCCGCGGCCTAGAGCGGCGCTGCGCTGCGGCGCGGGAGGGCGGGGCGGGGCGTCGGGGGGTGGAGGAACGGACGGACGGGGGAGGGCGGGACGAAGGCGAGCCGCGGCGCCGATTGGCCGGCGGCCCGACGTCGCCCGTGACGCACCGCGCGGGGAGGGTGCGCGCGCCTTCAGCGGCCTCTTTGTGTGGTGCCCTGATCGGGGAGCGGAGGTGGCGGCCGCGGCTGCCCTGGTGGGGTTCCAGCGTCCTCGGCTCGCCCTCGGGCCGGCAGCGCGCCGCTTCCCTCCCCCTCCCGCGCCTTCCCCAGCGGCAGCGGCGGCGGCGGCGGCAGCAGCGGCGGCGGCGGCGGTGGTAGCGGCGGCCGGGCCCGGGCTCGGACGAGGCCTCGGCGACCGCTAACGGCGGCGGCGGCGACGGCGACGCCGCGGAGCGCGCAGGGCGGGGGCAGGGCCCGGGCTGCCGGCATGGAGAACTCTCAGCTGTGCAAGCTGTTCATCGGCGGCCTGAACGTGCAGACGAGCGAGTCGGGGCTGCGCGGCCACTTCGAGGCCTTCGGGACGCTGACGGACTGCGTGGTGGTGGTGAACCCCCAGACGAAGCGCTCCCGCTGCTTCGGCTTCGTGACCTACTCGAACGTGGAGGAGGCGGACGCCGCCATGGCCGCGTCGCCGCACGCGGTGGACGGCAACACGGTGGAGCTGAAGCGCGCGGTGTCGCGCGAGGACTCGGCGCGGCCCGGCGCGCACGCCAAGGTGAAGAAGCTGTTCGTGGGCGGCCTCAAGGGCGACGTGGCGGAGGGCGACCTGATCGAGCACTTCTCGCAGTTCGGCGCGGTGGAGAAGGCGGAGATCATCGCCGACAAGCAGTCGGGCAAGAAGCGCGGCTTCGGCTTCGTGTACTTCCAGAGCCACGACGCGGCCGACAAGGCGGCGGTGGTCAAGTTCCACCCGATCCAGGGCCACCGCGTGGAGGTGAAGAAGGCGGTGCCCAAGGAGGATATCCACGCGGGCGGCGGGGGCGCGCGGGCGGCGCGGGGGCGGGCGCGGCGGCGGCCGGGGCCGCGGCGGCGGCGGAGGCGGCGGCCGAGACCAGAACGGGCTGGCCAAGGGCGGCGGCGGCTACAACAGCTACGGCGGCTACGGGGGCTACGGCGGCTACGGGGGCGGCGGCGGCGGCTCGTACGGCGGCAGCGACTACGGCAACGGCTTCGGCGGCTTCGGCAGCTACAGCCAGCACCAGTCCTCGTACGGGCCGATGAAGGGCGGCGGCGGCGGCGGCAGCTGGGGCGGCCGCAGCAACAGTGGACCGTACAGGGGCGGCTACGGCGGCGGCGGCGGCTACGGGGGAGGCTCGTTCTAGACGCCGAGTCGCGGATGCCGGGCGGCGGCGCTGCTCCCCTCCCCTCCGCGCCCGCCCGCCCTCCTCCCCCCCAGGTGCCCTCGGGGGAGCCGCTCACCCTGGGGGGCAAAAAACCCCCCGCCTGCCTGCCTGTCTCCCCCCCGAAGGAGGACTCGGCCCCCCACACACACATTTTTTGTGTTACAGTCATTGATGGACTCTATTTTTTTATTATTCCTTGGACCTTGGTCGTTTTTATACTAGCAAAAAAAATGTCTTGTTTTGATTTTTTTTTTGTTTTTTGGGGGGGAGGGCGGCGGGGTGGGCGGGAGGGAGTGAACTTGCTGATTCTGTAGCAAAACCCGGGTGGGGGTTGGGCGGGGGTAGTTTACTTTGTTGTAAGGACTTGATACCTGGCTATACAGCGTTTTCTATGAAACCTACTTGGATCCCATGCCTGAAATTTGGAAGCATATGTACAAAAATCATTTTTACGTTTTATTTTTAATAAATCATTGTGTTTGACCGTACATGTCTAACATTTCTTTTTCCTAGGATCCACACCTTACCGTTTTAAAGGATATTTCTGTTAATTTTTGATGTGTACTTTGAGATACTTAAAGAGGTCTTGTGGGTTACTTTTTTTTCCCCTTCCTGCTACCCAGCTGGTGATGTGTTGAATTTACCCCTTATAGTCAAAGCTTTTTAAGTGGTGGATGTGGCCGTTTAGAGTTTCTGTACATCCATCTTGTAATAAGCGATTTGCTTATCATCTTGACATGGTCACTTCTTTCTAGGAGAATTTACTTCTAAATATATACTGTGTAGTTTTGAAAGAGATAGTTTGTGTTTAAGCATGTGTTCTCATTCATATAAAACTGTTCAAAACTTTTTTAGGTGACCTAGTTTCATCCTTAGCTGGTTTGTCTGTATTGAATGGTTACAAATAAGGGTTATGTTTACCCTAACACTAAATGAGTTTTTTTTTGTACTTTCAGAGCAGGTTTAAAAACGTTTCTTTCCTAAATCTGAACTTTGTCCTTTCAAGCCCCACCGATGTAGCACCATCTACCGGTAGAGTGGAGTATAGCTGCAAGACAGTTGGTTACAAAGAATTTGTTGAGGACAATTTTATCAGATTTAGCAGTTTGCCATCAGAAGTCTGTGCAGACTTGGAAGCTCCACATTTATTTGTAACTGAGACGGGCTTCACAGGAATGTAGTCAACAGCCCTTACCAGTCTTTTCTACATGAGATTTGAAAATGTAAACCGGTATGCATATAGCTTGGGCAGTAGCCCCAAACTGCTCTGATAGCTCCTGAAGCAGCTATGTGTACTGGGGTTTTAGGTGCAAGTTGTAAAACAAAATATATGTATTCTGCTTGGTTAACGTGTATTTGTAGCCCTTCATGCAATAGAATTCAAGTTGTTGTTTATAAAAAAAAACAAAAAAAAACCTGATAATAGGAGAAAATTGCCTTCCTGAATAGAAACATAGAATAGCAACGTTTATGGATATCACAAATAAAGAATTCAATTCTTTACATGATTGAGTGAGAGTATGTATAATCTGGCGGGTGGGTTCATAGTATCAGTTAATTTACTGGGTTTAATAGTATGGTAAATTTTACTGGGATTTTGGAAGCCCAAAGCCTTATGGTAATATTTTAATATTGAAGCCCCTACATTTTAAGTTGTCATTGTTGGATTTCTAAGATATGATTCTTGCCAAAATACCGTAATTGCAAGGCTCTGAGAGAGGTAAGAAAGGCCATGGATGTCAGGCAAAGTGTGCTCAGTTACCTTAATGAATGATGGCTGGTGCTTGGTGCAGATATTCAGCACCTCTAACGGGTAAGTGTCTGCACTTGGAAGTGAAAACTGGATGGAATTCTTTGCTCGATTAGCTGTACTGCCCTTAAGTTCTGCTTGAGCTTTTCACTCAGGCTGCTTGAAGATTTAGTGCAGTTTTTGGGGGGGTCCGGAGGCTATTGTTAATGTGCTACCCCTGATGTTTGCCTATTTTTGGTGAAAAGGTTGAGTTAGCTGGTAGGAATTGTGGGAGATTGTCACACATGAGGTTGTCAGTTTTTCCTTTGAAAATGGTGACTTATGAAAAGGTAGTGGATGACTACCTGTCCTGTTAGAAAAGAATCCACAAGTCATGGTCACTAACAGCTCAGTGTTTGTGTTAATTGAATACTAGGACAGGAAAAGTATTTTTAAGCACTTCCTGTGTTCCCCTGGCCAGCATGGATGGGGAGCTTTTTAAATGGGTGAACAGCTGTTTAAGGTCTTGATTGACTTGAGTATCTGAACAGTACTTCAAGCTTAGTTGGCAGGAGGTAGTGTATTTTTCATGCTTGAATATAATCTGATTTTCAAGATGAAATTGCTCCAATGTAAAGATTCTTGTATTTCAAATACTTTGCATTTAAATTGTAAAGTAATCATTAGTTTAAAGGTAGTTCAGAAGATTGTTACATCTGTTTCATGTGAGTGTGTGGAAGCCTGTGCCTTTCACAGAGAGCACTTGTGGGGTCAACAAGTCTGCCCTCCTACTCTCTAGGTCCCAGGGATCAAACCCCTGGCTGTAAGTGCCTTTACCAACTGAGCCGTCTTGATGGACCTGGAGGATCTTTAAAGATGGTAATAGTTTAAAATCTTGAGGTTTGTTTTTTAAAAAGGTACCTCTGTGTGTGTGTAGGTTTGAGAGTGCAGGTTCCTGCAGAGCCCAGAAGGTACTGAGTCCTTTGGAGTTGGATTAAAGACGATTGTGAGAGACAGATGTGGGGCCCTCTTCAAAAGCTGAGACATCTCCAGACCCCGGAATTCCAAATCTTTAAAGCTTAAAAGTGGTTGAGGCTCACGAAGTGGGTGAATGATTGTACTCCTGGTTGCACCCGAATGTGGAATCTCATTTTAAGGAAACGGATTAAAGGACAGACAGCTGAGAATGTGGCATTAGGGTTCCTTACCTCAAGACCCCAAGTGCAAGTCAGTTGATGTGTAGACTTGGTTGTTTACACTCTTAAGATTGCTTTCTATGTGTCTGGTGATTGAAAGTGTGCTCTGGGGTGTGGGTGGGTTTGCTTTAGCTAGTGTAGGGTGTTACCTGTGGAACATCCACACTTGAAAGTGTCATCCCCCTCAGTGTGACAGGGAAGAGCCCCTGCCAGCCCTGTTTTGGTTGGCTTCCTTGTCGTCCCCCCCCCTCTCGTTTCTTTTCCTGTGTGTCCCTAGCTGGCTTGAAACTTGCTATGGAGACCAGGCTGGCCTTGAATTTTTAGGCATCCTCCTGCCCGCCTACTGTTAGCATTATGGACACGTGCTCACCTAGTGTTAGCATTATGGACACATGCTCACCTAGTGTTAGCATTATGGACATGTGCTCTTCTGCTCTTTTGGAAGGACCAGCCAAAACTATGGAGCTGACGAAGTGTGGGACAGTTTTTTTTCCCCTCTCAGTGTTCTATTGCAGAAGAGTTTGAGGCATACTTCTTTTGCTCTCTCTGTCTCCCCACTCTTTTTTTTTTTTTTTTTTTTTTTTGGTTTTTCGAGACAGGGTTTCTCTGTGGCTTTGGAGGCTGTCCTGGAACTCGCTTGGTAGTCCAGGCTGGTCTCGAACTCACAGAGATCTGCCTGCCTCTGCCTCCAGAGTGCTGGGTTTAAAGGCGTGCGCCACCAACGCCCGGCGTCCCCACTCTCTTGAGACAGGGTTTCTCTGTAGCTTTGGAGCCTGCTCTAGAGCTCACTCTGTAGATCAACCAGGCTGGCCTCGAACTCACAGAAATCTGCCTGCCTCTGCCTTCTGAGTGCTGGGATTAAAGGCGTGTGTCACCACCCCCTGGCTTTTCCTGCTCTCTTAAAATTGAAGTTTTTTTTTTTTTTTCAGTAAGTTGCTTGAGAGTCTAAGAAGTAGTGTTCGTGTGTGTTGTTGATTTCTGTCCTCAGTCACTCCATGAAGAGAGCCTGTTATCCTGTTATCTCTGTTCTGCCTGCTGGCTACAGGCTCTTAAGCAGTTTGCCTCATATAAAGGATTGAAAATTGGAGATTGGAATTTTGCAGCTTAATTTTTTGGGGGGGGGGGTTGGGACAGGTGTTCACTTATGTGGGCCTAGCTGGCCTCGAACTCAGAGATCCACCTGCCTCTGCCTTCTGAGTGCTACAGTGCTCCCAGCTGCTCTTCTGAAGGATTACACACTGAGGTCTGGGGTCACAGCAGGAAACATCACTGTTTATCCTACTAAAATTCAGACCATAGTATCCAGTTGTATGTTAATAGATGTTATAGCAGCGTTTGCTTTTGCTTGAATTGTAAATGATTTCCTGAGTACATCTATGAAGCTTTCTCAAGAAGTTGGAGAAAATAAAGAATTGGAAAGTGCTGGGTGAGGTTTGCTCTGGGTCAGAAGTATCACCAAAAATGTGAATTTCTAGATTGAGCTATAACTTCAGTTTACTATTTAACCTGGTAAGTCAGCTGATTTCCTAGATTATGCAATTGTTTAGATCCCATATGATTTAATGTGGTTCTCAAATCTTTCTTGGTAATTAAGTATTTGAGAGAAACCCTGAGATTCATTCTTATGATACGTTCAGCAAAAAAAAAAACAAAAAACAAAAAACAAAAATCTGGACGAGTAGTAAGCTGCAAGGGTCCAGCCTTTTCTCGTAAGGTATCCACAGTTTTGTCTGGATGGCGAGAATTTCAACAATTCTTGCAGCACCAGCATCTGCGTTGGACCTATAAGCAGCAGTGACTGTATCACAGGAAAATGTGACAGGTGTTTGAACTAGCTTTAACATTTGGATTCGGAAGACAAGCCACAAAGGACATTCCCACTGCTCAGCTGAAATGCAGAGCATGGCGTACTGGGTCCCTTGTGTCGTTATCCCTTTTGAGTATGAGGGCACTGAGACTTTAAAAAAAAGCCGTTTAAATTTTATTATTTTTTGCCAAGTGCTAATAATAGCAAAACCAGCTGTGGGACACACTATTCAGTTTGGGAAATGCCACCCACCTGAGTTTTTAGTGAAACATGACAAAGGGCTGGAGAATTGGCTTAGCACCTGAGAACACTTGTTGCTGGGGCGGAGATTCCCAGCAGCCCCGTGGCAGCTCCTAACTAATTCTAGGCCTAGCCCCCTTCTGA